TGCCCATAAATCACAATCAATTTGGGATGATTTAAAATAAAATTAGAAGCCTTATTTACAAGTAAAAAACATAAACATAAACACTCACGCTTGTCACCCAGAGGGGTAGGCAGAGACTTCAGACTTCCATTTAGCGCGATCCTGACATACCTATCTCGCCTCTTTCACATCCATATACCTACGCACACATGCTCGTTGGTTAAGGGTACTCTTAATTTGGCCCATTTTTAGTATATCGCCAATTTTGTCGACAAACTTCCGTATAGGACGTCCCTTTCCGACTCTTCCATTCACTTCTGCAACATATATTTGCTTTGTCAGTCTTTCCGCATTCATTCTTTCTACATGACCAAACCACCGAAGCATTCCTTTCTTAATCCTGGTCACCGTATCATCTTGCAAACCACACTCTTCTTTTATCACACAGTTTCTCACCCTGTCACTCAGAGTCAGCCCTAACATACTCCTTAGCGACCGCATTTCTACTGCATTTATTCTACTCTCGTGCTTCTTCTGCCACATCTTGTTAATTGAGCAAGTGGATGAGTTCGTATATTTGGGTGTGTATTCAGCAGGGATGGGAAATATGATAAGGATATTGAACGACGAGTGAATGCAGGAAATAAAGTAAATGGGGCTCTACACTCTATTATGAAAAGTCAGAATGTGTCAAAAAAGGCACGTATGGCAATTCACAATGCTGTATTAGTCCCTACTTTAACTTTATTTACAAGTATTTTCAAAAACTGCACTAATGGTATATCATAGGGTGCGTTTGGCAGAAAAAAGCGCTAGCAAGCGCTTGTAAGCAAAATGGCGATCGTAAGCGGTAAACGCTGTCAAATCGTAAGTAGCTTAGTCTTTGAGGACACGAAGTTAGTTTTAACCGGGGAACCTAACCTAATTTAAATATATGTTTGTAAAGTATTCATAGTAAAAACTTACCAATCATGAATTTTTAATAACATGTATATGTTTATTCATGTCATTATATTACTTAAAACAAATATTGCACAAAACAACTTATAAACTTTACTTCAAAACAAACAAATTAAATAAGCAAAATGGCATACATTATCGTATTATGAAATTGATCTATCAATAAATAATACTAATTGGGTTCGTATTATTATATTTAATTTCGAGTTTTTAAATATTCGTAGTTTTTTCTGACTTTTATTATAGTCGCTTCTTACGACATATATCGGACGAAATGAGGTGTTGAATTCTTATACGTCGTTACCACACAGTAATAAATAGTTTTACAAAAATATCAAAATTGAAAAGCCTGTATGTACGAGTAGGCTTCTTAATAATATATTTGATGAACATTTTCCTACTTAAACACTAAATTACATAATACGTAGAGCCAAGATGCAAGTACACTACGATACAGTACGAATGGATCGGGTCGACCGTGGAGATACCATGCTCTCGCAGAATACCAGCGTGAAATTATGATGTTAAACAAAACACTGTTATACTGAACTCATGTGGGTTGAGCGCTGGTTTGATACAGGCATTGAGGTCTCTTTATAGGGATTCTAGTGCTTGTGTCAGGATCAATGGGGTCTACTCGGACTGGTTTGGTATCTGAAAAGGTGTCAGACAGGGCTATGTAGCTTCCCCTTGGCTGTTCAACCTATTTATGGACAGGTGTTTGCAAACTTTGAAAGATGAAAAATGTGGGTTAAGAATGGGCGAGTTAACCGTCAAATGCCTTTTATATGCCGATGATCAAGTCATATTTGCGTCGTCGGCGGCTGAGTTGCAAATGATGGTTACATTAATGAACTGGGCATTAAAAGAAAGGGGAATGAAAGTGAACGCAAGTAAGACGAAAGTGATGGTTTTTGAAAGAGAGGAAAGCAAAACGGTATGTGAAATAAGAATAGAAGGAGAGTTAATTGAGCAAGTGGATGAGTTTGTATATTTGGGATGTGTATTTAGCAGGGATGGTAGATATGATAAGGATATAGAACGACGAGTAAATGCAGGGAATTAAGTGAATGGGGCACTACACTCTATTGTGAAGAACCAGAATGTATCAAAAAAGGCACGTATGGTAATTCATAATGCTATGTTAGTCCCTACTTTAATGTATGGTAGTGAAAGCTGGGTGTGGCAGAAGAAGCACGAAAGTAGAATGAATGCTGTAGAAATGCGGTCTTTAAGGAGTATGTTAGGGTTGAATCTGAATGACAGGGTGAGAAATTGCGTGATAAGAGATAAATGTGACATGCAAGAAGATGTTGTGACCAGGATTAAGAAAGGAATGCTTCGGTGGTTTGGTCACGTAGAAAGAATGAATGAGGAAAGAGTGACAAAGCAAATTTATATGGCAGATGTGAACGGCAGAGTTGGGAAGGGACGCCCTAGAAAAAAAGTTTATCGACCAAATTGGCGATATTTTGAAAATGGGCCACGTTAAAAGTACCCTTAACCGACGAGCATGTATGCGTAGATATATGGATGTAAAGGAGGCGAAAGAGGTATGTCAGGATCGTGTCAAATGGAAGTCCGTAGTCTCTGCCTACCCCTCTGGGTGACAGGCGTGAGTGTTTATGATATGATGATTAATTATGATGTATGATACAAGGCATTATATTTTATAGAGCTGGTTCGAATATTCGTTTTATATTCGGTATTTGCATATTCGGCAGCTTTACCGAATATTCGTACTCGGCCGAATATTCGGCTAAATCACCGAACATTTTTTTCATAGTGTCCAATATATATTTAAATGTACGAATTGAGTAATGCGATGTCTTTTACTGTTGAAAGTGTATTTTATTTATGGGTTAAATCTACTTACTCTAGAGTGCCTCAAATGCATAAATTATGTTTTTGAGGCACTGTTAATTTATTTCCGATTATGGTAAATAGAAACTTGATAAAATGTTTTTGGAATTAAACAAAGAAACATTACATTACATTAGTACATTTCACTTTACTTTGGTCGTCAGTTTCTCTAAAATAAGTCCAAATAATAAATCTCCTGCCGCTCATTTTTATTATATAATTACTTATCAATTTACACTAACAATAAAACAACGAAATACTTTTTTATCATAAAAATAGTCAAAACATAAGCATGTGCCGGTAATTTGCTCAGCTCAATGATGCAATAACTGTCAGGTGTGGCGGGGAGCGAGAGGCAGGGTCCGGCGCTAATCCCGCGCGCTTTACGGTGACAAATTTCGACATAAATTGGTTAGTTAGGTCCCGAGGTTATCCTTCCGAGTAATGTTCGGCCGAATATTCGGTTCGGTAAAAGTTTTACCGAACATTCGGCCGAATATTCGTAGGTATTCGGTGAAATCCATGTTTGGCCCATCCTAATTTTATAATTTTATTCTTCAGGGGTGACAACGCATCTGCATTTTGATTTTCAATCGAGTAGGTATACACATGTAGATGTCAATAGGCCACAGCATCCACTTACCATCTGGTGAGTTGTGTGCTCGTTTGTCATCATTATTCCTTAAAAACAATTAATGACAGCTGTGTTAGTGATAAGAGCAACTTACGAGGTAATATTAACCTCAGTACAGATCGTCTATATACAGATTCCTTTCAAAAATAACCGAGCTAGGCATCCCAGAGAGGCACATGCTGCTCGGACTGATTATAAATATGAAAAACTACCTTATAAACCTCAATCTTAATCAAACTAATCCTAATTTATTAGGTCTGAGTCCTAATGCACTAGTTTTTTTAACTTAATATATTATAGGAAAAAAAAAACAGAATAATAGATTTGTATGGCTAAACGTCTACGGGATATCCCCTTATGGATATGTAATATCATATTTTTTAAATAAAGAAAATATTACGGTGTAAGTAACAGCCACTACATACGGATACAACTTTTACTGCGGTTGATAAATAACCTGGCTCACGAACACATTACAACGTTGAATACCAACGTCTCATTTGTTGCCCCGTAATGACATACTCTGCTTTCGGTAATAAATGTCTTACTAAAATTTACAATGATACAGTGGCCGTTATAATAGATCAGGAATCATTTTCGTATTTTGTACGTATAAAATTGTAATCAAACCTTTTTTGATTTATACTGGCTGAAAAACAGGCACTTTTACTTAGTAACATGCACGAACGGCAGAGTCGGAAAGGGACGTCCTAGGCGAAAGTTTATTGACCAAATTAGCGATATATTGAAAATGAGCCAAATTAAGAGTACTCTTAACCGACGAGCATGTATGCATAGGTATATGGATGAGGAGGCGAGAGAAGTGTGTCAGGGTCGTGTCAAATGGAAGTCTGTAGTCTCTGCCTACCCCCCTGGGTGACGGGCGTGAGTGTTTATGTTATATTATGTATGTTATGTTACTGGCTGATATCAATATCGTTAAAGTTGTTACTATTATAAAAAATATTTCTTGCCATTTTTCTTTCGTACTTTGGATTGTGATCTAGAAATTCGGTATGTTTTGAAGTGTTTTTACGAATTAAAAACATAAAAATTTGACACAAAATTCAAAATTAAATCAATTATACCGTACAATATGGAACTAATCCTAACTTATTACGTCTAAATCCTAATGAACCAGTTTTTTTTTTACTTAATATAAACCAGTGCTTAACAAAAATTTGGACCTTTGTCATTTTGTGCCATATAAAATTTGCCTGATTTTAATTCAGACACCATAAACGTATAAATACGGGACTTAAAACTACTTCACCGCCATTTACCATCGTATTAATCACAGTGTTAATAAGAGTAGCACAAAATCGGTTGAAGTTACTTCAGTAACTTTCATCAAGGCAATCTATGGGGGAGGCCTATGTTCAGCCGTGACTTTGATAGGCTGTAATGATGATGATGGACCAGACACACCTTCTTCATATGACACCGAAACTTACAAATGGCTACGATATAAATTCATTAAAATAAAATGATATATTTTTTAATATTGTATTTAGTAACTTATATAGACTTAGTATAAAATGGCAGACAATGAATGCATTAATTTCTAGTACTTATAAACTAGGGGCTGAAGGTATCTGATCTCAGAAGAGAGCTTGGAATCATCTTTTCCCAACTCCATCACCATCTCCTTGGCGCGGTTGTTGGCGTATTCATGAGCGCAGTCCTTTCTTTCCACCATCTTTGATAACGCCATTTTTAATTGTTCTCTAGCGCCTCCACTTGATGACTCCACTAGGGTCTTCATTACGTCGGGTGAGAAGCCCTGGAATAACAAAGAAGTATCTTGTGAGACGAAACCCTCTGACTATGGCTGCTACAACTTATGAACACCTGCAACGAACTGTAAGAAAATAAGACTACAGGCGCATTGTGCATCTAGGTATAGGAATTTGAAAGAAGTGAGAGCGTCAGAGCGTGTCAAATCTACATCCGTACTCTCAGACTACTCTTTTGGGCGACAGGCGCGAGAGTTTGTGACTAAGATTATTGAGATGATGAAGTACGTTATCAGCTCTGAGGACTAAGATAGAACAGCCTGTAATTATATTGGCCTCCAAAAATTGAAAATTACCTTAGTATGTACAATACATAACGTAGTCTGGTTTTAATTTGCTACGGTTTAAAGATCTTTATTTACTCATTAAGACTAATGTCACTGATATCAGTACATTCATACAATTTAAATCACACAGAACAAAATAATAAAAAAGTAAGTATAAATAAAGATAGATCAAAATTAAATATAAGTTGCAAGTAAGCAATGTACGAACAATGTTTCAAGTGTTGATAATATAAGACGGTGGTTCAAAGTAATAATGGCTTGTTTTTTAATGTAAAAAAGTAAAGTTACAGCCTATATACGTCCCACTGCTGGGCACAGGCCTCCGCTCACTTCTGAGAAAGTTTTAGGGCAAGGAATGGTCCGCCGCGCTACCCCAATGCGTGTTGGCGAACTTCACTTGTATACGAAATATTTATTTTTCTTATTTCTCTGACACGCAGGTTTCCCCACGATGTTTTCCTTCACCGCCGAGCACGTGTAAATTAGCACTTAAAATTGCAATTAACAATTTCATTGGTGCCGGCGGGGATCGAACCCGGTTTGCTCGCGCACTGTGAAATGTACTGTGTGTTTAATGTGTGTGGTTATAAATGACAGATGCATCAAGCAATAATCCAAGATATTTTTTTTGATGAGGTTGGCGTGGTAATTTGCCGTTAATGTGTAATGCTGTGTGTTGTTGATTTTTTTTGTTTTTTTTTTGCACATACTACGTAAGATGTTTTGGCAGTATTTATTTATATTATGGCAACATTTCCATGATATAAGACGTCTGGATAGTAGTCGTCAATCTGCGTATCAAGCCTGAAGTTAAAGCTAGAGCTAGAGGAGTTTAAAGGGCTAATGAAGAAGAAGAAAAAGTCATCTTATGGGAGAACTGACATACAACAACAAATACATTGATAGAGTATTTGTGGTTCAGTTAAATCGAGAACACGTTCTTGTCTATCATTGTAAAGAGTGGAATTATAGTAATTATAATAATATCCCGTAGACTGAACTTAGGTCACGGCGGCAAGCCTCAACGGAGACTAGCCAAAGGCACAGAACAGTATTATAATACAGGTGCACTCTCTATTTCCTCACTATCATAGTCGGATGGGACGTTAAACCGACAGCAGCTAGTAATATAAATAATAAGGACACCCCTCCTAAGAAGTATAAGGTGTCTCAATCGGATGCAAAGATCATGACGACGATCTTTTGGGATACAGAAGGTAACCTTTTCACTGATTATAAGAAACGTGGTGTTTCCATTACGGGAGAATATTATGCTTCTTTACTAAATCAATTAAAAGAAGCTATTAAAGAAAAATGGCGAGGAAAGCTTATAAAAGGCATGCTCCTTTTGCACAACAATGCACCCGTGCCACAAGCCATGTTGCGACGGCTGCCATTCACCGGTGCGGTTTTGAACAACTGCGCCACCCACCCAACAGCCCAGACCTAGCCCCAAGCGACGACTATTCGTTTCCAAAAATGAAGATAAAAAAATTTGGCGACGATAATGAAATTTTCGGTCTGTTTTGACGCACAAGATAAATATTTTTTTAGACGATATTAATAAGTTATTTCACTGTTGTATTAGGGTTAAAGGAGAATAAATTGAAAAGGAAAAATAGTTTAATGTTTCATTTCATTATCCTTTTCTGTAATTCTTTGTCCACCGAATTTTTGACATCCCCTCGTATATAATCATCGATAGGTATACGTATATAAATATGTACTACGCCATTGAGCTATTACGTACTACGTACTAGAGGCGACACTGCATTCAGCTACTATGTTCCACTCAACTGCAGTGCATACACCGCACTTTAATCATTCTCTCGCTAGGCGCTTGTAGAGTTGACACGTGATGTGTTGATTTAAAAAAAATCTCTTCATAAAAATATGCCGTCGTGTGTACTTAGATATTGCACAAATAATTCAAGAAATGTCAGTAAAAACCAAGGAATTACTTTTCATCGGTTAATAAGATACTTAATCAATAAAAAAGTATTATAGAATAATAATAACACAAATTATTGCTACGAACGCCATCTCGTGTCATGAAATATAGATTATGAAATTAATATGTTCAGATGCGACATTTCTGTGGGTACTTAAGTATAGGACGAATATATTATTAAACACATTTTTTTGTAGAAACATATATAAGTTATAATAATTAGGCTAAATTTTTCATGTTTAAATCTGCTTATTATTCTTTTATTTTATTTTTAGGTTTCCATATCAAAGTCAAAGTGGAATAAATTCGTCCATTTTTAACTTTCGCGTGTCCAGCATTTATGAACGACTCTTATTCTAATTTAAATAAATATATTTGTAATTTAAATGTTATGTTAATACGTTTTGTTAAATACACATTTAGTATGTTTTTTTATATTTGACGTAGATACCTTTTAAAATATTCAGATAAAAATATCATTAAAATGTAATTGTGATATAATATTATGTAATATTATATTAAATAAGTAAATATAATATACAAAATAAATGACAAAATTTAAATATTGTTCTCGATATAATTTACCTATTTAACAATATAATCTACTATTACCTACGGATCAGTCTACCTATGTTTATCTATGATAAAAAAACCAACCGCGCGAACACAGAGTAAAATAGCGCACATTTTTTGTTTGAGATAGCTGTTCTAGTACGTAAGTACATAATACTTCAATGTACTACGCACTAGATTTAGCATTCCGAACACTCACTATGTTCAATTGAACTGTACTGCAATCTATACACCTGTTATTGTGGCTTCGATATTCATGCAGTGTGGAGCGGTACTAATAATAATTTTATATTAAATTAGCACATATGCAAAATAAACGAAAATTAAAAAAATGTACTCGATTAACAATGCAATCTAAATAGACAACTATTTATTATGACAATTTTCGCGCGTTTATATATCAACTGCGCATGCGCGGATCTACTGTTTCCCGCGCATGTGCGGATACAGAGTAGTGCATATTTTTTATGGAATAGCTTCTCTAGTACGTAGTACATATAACTCAATGTATTTAATTAAAAATTTTGCATTTAAAGGACAATGACGAAATAATATGTGATGGAATTATTAAGCGTCTACTTAAGTCACCATTACAGATATAAATAAAATAATTTAATTTGTTTTATCTAATCAAGCTTATTGTCTATCGAAGTCTGGAAAAAAAAATCTGGAAAAAAGACTTAAGGACTCGAAGGAATCGAATTAAGGTCGATCTAATTATGATAACAGTCTGATGCACAAACATAATTTAATTATATTATCTTTCTTTAATAAGATTTATTCACCTAGGTATTCCCATAATTTGATTCACACATAGACAGTTTTTATCTGTGTTGGTATTGGGTTAATATTCGATTTGACCTTGAGTTATATATTAATATGCACATAATTGGTGCCTGCTTTTCAAATGTCAGCTAGTTCAAGATTTTAAGAAATGACAAAGAAAATTCTATATTTGGTAAGCACCAAGTGAATCGACGAAGATGCTCAGGAAAGAATTTGATCGCTAGTTTTTTTTCTTCACTTTAATAGGGTATGTAGTGTCAATTTTTTTTAGTAATCGAAGTAGCATCAATGCTAATTGATATACTGCTGCGTGGAACAAACGACCGAACACGAAAATCCACGCGCTGTTTTACCGTGACCACGCGCTCGCGCACTCAGCCTTCAAAATGAGGGATTCTCCGACAGCACAGCGGTTAAGATTTTAGCTCACACTTCTTACAAATCTTACTTGTGAGTGAATTCTTTCTATTCCCTTAAAAAGAACAGCTGAAAGGAATACAGACGCCGGAGGGTTATTAGAGTTCAACAGGCCGTAGAAGAGGCGTCTGAGACAGACTGGGAAAAGTGTGATTGAAGAAGTGGTGAAAACGCATGAAGCGTTGTAGGTATAGTGAAGAATTTTCAGAAAAGGTTTAATAATAAAAGATTTACCATAGAACTTTAAAAATATGAAGCATTGCAAAACTTTCTGAACGACCCACGTAGGCTGCCATATTAGACTATGGTAAAACGATTGGTAAACTTAATTAAGTAAAAAGTTGAGATTTTATACTTACACTATAATCTGACAGCCTCTGTCTCTTCGCTTCCCTGCTTAGCAGATCGTACAAAAGTAGCAATCTCAAGTTCGAAGATGACATCTTCCCTTTAGGTGCCGGCTCCAATGGACGTGCTCTTAGCCCTTCCCAGACGTCAACCAATCGTTCATCATGCGGGTCATGAGCCATTCTAATCATTTCCCTCACGTTATGTGATAAGTATTGAAGGTTTTCTTCTGTCAATTCATGCACATCAAAGCCTTTAGATCGACTCGAAATTTTATCGACGTCGGTTTCAAAATGAGGAGGTAAGAGTTGTGGTGCATTCGGAGTAGGTTCCATTAGCGGCTTCACTTCTTCATGATGGGCAGACAGTAATGGCTCTTCGTTCCATCCGCTTTGAGGTTGTAGTGGGTTGTACTGAGGTAAGTCGAATGTCATGACGTTGAATTGTTGATTTTGTGGAGTATTATATTGCTGTTGATTTTGGAATAGGTTATACTGACGTTGATATTCGTTGTTTAGATACTGGTCTTGTAAGGAAACGTTGAACACCTGCTGATTCTGTGAGAATTCGTTTTGATTCTGGTTTTCTTGGAAGTTGTACGTTTGTTGGTTCTGTGGAAGGATGTTGTATTGTTCCGGGTACTGTGAGGGAAAGTTGTATTGTGGCTGGTTCTGTGAAGGGAAATAGTACTGTTGCTGGTTCTGTGTAGGGAAGTTATATAGTTGCTGTTGTGAGGGGTAGTTATATTGTTGCTGAACTTGTGAGGTGGCGTATTGATGTTGATTCTGTGGAGTTTGATATTGTTGTTCATATTGTGGAGTAGAATATTGTTGTTGATTTTGAGATGTGGAGTATTGTTGTTGATATTGAGGCGTGGGGTATTCTTGTTGGTTCTGGGGTGTAGGGTATTGTCCTTGGCTTTGCGGGGTGGGGTACTGTTGTTGGCTTTGAGGTGTGGGGTATTCTTGTTGGTTTTGGGGGGTAGGGTATTGTTCTTGGCTTTGCGGGGTGGGGTACTGTTGTTGGCTTTGAGGTGAGGGATATTGTTGTTCATTTTGAGACGTGGGGTATTGTTGGTAATTCTGAGGGTTAAGGTATTGTTGTTGGTTTTGAGGTTTGGGATATTGTTGTTCATTTTGAGACTTGTTGTTGGTTCTGGGGTGTGGGGTATGGTTGGTGTTGTGGGGTGAGGTTTTGTTGGTTATTTTGTGGAGACAGTTGTTTTTGCAATATTCTTTCTGAAGGCTTGGGTGGCGATGCTGGAGCATAATATCCAGGTTGATGGAAAGGCGTAGTTTCATCTCTGAAACGTAGATCACGATCATAAGTTTTGGACACATTAATTAGTAGTTATACTTTTTACATTGCGGTGATATATTACTAGTTACCAGTGCCTCGTGATTATTGCACCATATGTTACACCTTACACCACCTTACACCACGTTTGTGAAAAATTAAAATTTAATTTAATATTAATTTAAACATGATTTCTTTATGTTTATCAACCTGTAATGATCAGGCATAGACTTTTCCTATTGTAGGTAAGGCTCGTCCTTTTAAACTGTTATTAAATATAATACAAAACCAAAAATCTGCCAAACAAGTGTTAAATACAAATATTTGTTACCGTGCTCACCTTTGAACGAGAACAAACTACAAATAAATATACACAAAACAGACAAAAACCTCAGACAAAACCTTCACCTCAAAATACCATTGAGCATCCATCACCATGATTTAGGCTTCAATATCTCAAAAGTAATCGGATGTGACATACAAAGGTTTTGGCGTAGTTGGGGGCTTAGTACTCGGTTTCGGTGGTTTAGCTTCGGACTCCTCGTGCATGACGAATGCCATCTGGTCTGTGAGATGAGCTATCACTTGCATCGCCACCGGTAAGTAGGAATCCGAAAGTTGAACATTTTGTTTGGCTGCTTCCAGCTGAAAGAAAAAGATCTTTATTTCGATTACAAATTTCTTTTTGAACAGTCAATTAATATTTCTTTATTTGGATTTATCCATTTCATTCATTAGACATTAAAAGTTGGCTGCTAAACAAAGGGCTCTCCTAAATAGCATGCACCCCACATGGATGTTCCAATGCCAATTCACCTTTCAAGACTGACAAGTTAGCACCCGATTCTTTTAAACTATTTTAAGCTGGTTTCAGAAAGATCATCATGATACATCATGATCATCTAAATGAAAATAGCCCCTGGAAATGAGGTGATGCTGTTTCTTTTAAAATTTATTTAAATATTGTACAGACAAAATTAATGTAAAGTGAAGTATGTTTAAAAAAAGTTTCTTGCTGCTCCTTCCCAGGACATAGGTATTTTCCAAACAACTAGTAAATAAAAAAATGACTATTAATAAGTATTATGTACTAATCTACATTGAATAAAAGTTATTCATTTCATTTAATTTCTCAGTTTTTTCACTCTCTCGCCTCTTACGACAATGGATGGTATGTAATAGATTTTCTTACGATGCCTCTGCTTGGCATATACTGGGCTAACTACATAAAAGAATCACTTATATATTTTATATACTCTTATACTATATGTACATTTGTTAATAATCATGTTACTTCTGAACAACTTGACAAAGAAACATTCACACAACGTAATATTTGATTTTTCAAGGGGTTCATAATAGCTATGAACAATTCTCATATGCTAAGCTAAGATATGATAAGTGGGGCTGTAGTCAAGTTAACAAGTTCCATATTTTTCAACCGACTTCAAAAAAGGAGGAGATTCTCTATTTGTATTTTTTATGTGTGTTACCTCAGAACTACTTTTTAGGTGAATCGATTCTGATGATTCTTTTTTTACTTGAAAGCTGGTACTTCTCATGTGGTCCCATAGAAATTTGATCAAGTCTGACCATTAGTTTTTGAATTATCGTTAATAAAGCGTATTTAATTGATTTCGACTCATAGATCAACCCTAAGGTTAAGGGGCAATCTGTGCTTCAACTACATTGATGATGTTCTTATTTTTATTAATGTCGGTTGTACAAAATTTTTAATTTTACCACTTGTTGGACCAAAAGACTCATTGAATAAAATTATTTACGGATTTTGTTGCGTTTTATTTGACTTATTTTTAATTCCTATGTATAGGACAGTACAATATAATACAACTACCTTGCCAGGTAGACGTTGTTCTGCCCTTTTCGATGACCCTTTTGTCATATCCTATTAAAAATCCCTAAATTCGCAAAAAAATGTGGGTCACTCATGGGCAAAAAAAGCTATCCTATCTCTCAAGTTGGACCAAACTGCACATGGTGTGCAAATTTGATTAAAATCAGTTTAGTAATTTAGGATTCCATTGCGACACTAATTTATATATATTGTTACGAGCTTAGGGTTCGTGATAATAAAAACTGCCGATTGAATTACCAAAATTTACACTTTTATTACCGAACACCAAGTAAAACTTAAAACACTAATAATTAACCACACTGATTCACTTTATTTCGCTCCGAAGCTTCGCTTGTCTCGCCAAATTCAATACTGCCCCGATCGTGGCATGCAGCGGATTTAAATACACTTTTACACTGAATCATCCAGAATATTCCCGTAGATACGGACGCCGACCGACCAGACGCAGAAAGTTCGAGTGTGGGGCTTCTAGAAAGCTTAACTCTTCTGTTCGATACTAGATGGCGCTGTTGGTCGAAAGTCAAGATTGACATTTTCTAGGAAGCCCTCCTTGCTCTGGTCCCCGACACTAGATGGCGCTAGTGCCGGGTACATGACGTCAACTTAGGCGCACAACAATATTAAGATAATAAGAAGTAATATAATAGAACATACAAATATTGAAGTGTCAAAGAATCAGCAAACTGGGACGAGACGCGGCATCTTTTGTATTCTATCCGTGGCGGCAAGTGTGTTTTTTTTTGGATGAACCCTCCTGCTCTGCTGATACAATTGTGGACGTGATACGGCAAGAAAATTTACATTCTGAATATTCACACCGACCGCTTTAAAGTCATCTTTTATAATGCGCACAGCCAAGTAGTAGAATGCCCTGCCGACGTATATTTTACTGAGTATTTATAACCTGAACTTCTTCAAGGTGCATATGAACAGGCTTCTCCTGAGCAAACTCACCTCATCTTTGCTCTGGGGCTAGGTGGAAGTCAAGAGTGAGCCAATTTTAAAAAAAATTGATGGAAAACAAAAGGTGCTACAAAGCAATTTCTTCCAGACAAACTAAAACAGAATTACATAAAAAGAAGAGAAAGATCAACGATCATGATGGTTACTATAGCGCACCACAAGAGCATTATAGAAAAAGATATAAATAATGTTCGAATTTGTATTGGAAAAGACCCATACTAAACAATATTCAGACTGTGAATCACACCATCATTTGATAACAGATGATAACAGACGTAGGAAAATCTTCTTCGTTTCTTCTGCATATCAATGATATATTTCGAACCGGTAACATTCCTTGCTATGCAGACGACAGAAAAGCACAAGAAATCAGTGACAGTAAACACCTGGTTGCCAAGCTCCACAAAATGTCAAGCAAATGGCATTGCAAGAAAATACGCTTCACGTCCCGTGCTTACGTCACAGTGACCGCGTAAAACCAGCTGCAGCCATGCGTGTGCCTGCTGTACTACCAAATGTCAAAGGAGTCACAGACAAGATTGGCTACATTTTAAAATCGAGATTGAATAGTGAAGATGGCCGGGTGCTACCACCAGCTTCTTATCGTGACCTTCACCTGATCTAATCTATTTAAATAAAATTGAAAAATTAAGACTGAAACTAATGCCATTAAAACCCGAATAACTATTTTTTAATTTTTTGTTTGTCTTTCTTTATGTATGTCTCTCCGAGCTAATATTCGGCATTGCTGAACCAATTTTAATGAATCTTGACCAATACCAGGAGTGATATATGCTACATTTTACCCGAAAATCGTGGAGAATTTTTTTTTGGAAAAATCTAAAAATTGAGATAATAATTTATCTTCGATCCAATAATTTGTCTTAAAATATTAAAGTCTCTCAATAATTTATCTTAAATACAAATAACGCCACACCAATAGACCCTACCCAGGTGAAGTCTTTTAAATCAATAAATTACTACTAAGCCCGAGCATACAACTACAAGACTTTAACATACTGTAAGCTTGTTCTGCGAAGATCGGACCAAAATACCCAGAGTCCTCCCGTGACCATGTCACGTCAAGACAAACACAGGAGGGAGAATTCATAAAAATAGTTTTAGTTTTTTAGCTACAGTAGCCTAATGGCAAGGCGTGGACCGCGAACTCAAAAAGGTCGTGGGTTCGATTCCGCCATTCGACTACTGGCGTGAACCACTCGTAACACAAGCAATTTAAGCTTATCACTAGTGGTTAAATTAATATCCTCCATTAGTAATGTTTATAGCATTCTTAATATTTAAAAAAAAATATAATGAAAAAGTTCGTTATCAATAAAAGCGTCTGCCTTTATAATTGGTCTCTATACAAAACGCGGAGGTATTATGCTGCTATTTAACGTTAGTATTATTTAACATATTTATAGCGAAGTGGAGGGTGACCACCCACTAGATAATTTGGTAAAAATGCAGGATCAGGAAGCAATCGATGGATGATGGTGGTGTTCCTAGATGTCTATGTTCAACAGTAAACTTGTGACGGGCTGGAAGGATAACAATGTTGATGAAATATTTATTTTGAACTACCGGTTTTATTTAAAACTTATCTCTTATTTCTTAGTACCCGCTTTATCAGAAATAGGTTAAACACAACGTGTCGACATTACGAAAGTTATTTGTTATTCAGTTTGGGGAAACTCAATTGTTGTATTTATCTGTGAAGTGAAAGTGAGAACAAGGATGAATATTCATTAGTTTACATGAATCGATTTTGTAAGCTAAAGATAATGAAAACGTTGACTTTGAGGCTCAGTGGTTTGAGTACCGAAGTTCTGGCCCTTGGTTAGAATCCTAGCAATACCAATTAAATTAAAATAAAAGCAAAAGTTTCATTCATTAGTGTTTTCTCTTTACATAAATGTGCTTCTATTCACATAGTGCATTATAAAAATAGTATACGAAATTTAATGAGCGAGTAGTCTTGTCAAGCCTGTGGCAGCACTGTCACAACACAAGTCTGCTACAAGTGAAACGCATCGAAGTCCAAATCACGCTATCAAAGTTCTGAAGTACAACGGTATAGAATAGTTCTATACTACCATACAGAGCGTTAAGAGGATACCTTAAAAATGAATTGTATTTTTGAGGGCGTGGCTTATTCCTTTGTTGGTGAAGCTCATGGATGGCTCAAGAAGTGTCATAATCGAGGGGAGTCCGAGTATGCGCTCGGAAAAAACTAAGTAAGCGCCAAACGTCATTTTTTTAACAAAACTTTGATATGGATTAAGAAATTGGTTTACGAGAACTTAGGTATGATTATTTACTATGCCTTAAAAATAATTCATGAACTAATTCGTATAAATTTTGTGTTGTCATGGAGAAATCTAACTAATTAGAGCCTACTTTGCAATTTTTTTCTATCAAGAAAGTTACATGTTATCATGTTTTATTTTTATTCAATTCAAGGTCATAATATAGTTAAAAATTATGCACCAAAAATTTGGTTCGTAATTTATGAAACTTAAAAAAATATGTGTTATAGAAAAACCACCAAATTTTCGAGGTAACTTAGCCTCCATCACCTTGCTCGGCGGGAGAACTCCACTTTGCCTACCATGTTTAAAAGGCCATCCTCTTTAATTCGGGTTCGAGTTGTGGAAAAGACAAAGTAACACCATATATACGTCTCTTGTGGTATAGAACTTTTCTCATTAAGGGGAAATATAACCTCAAATGGCTTAGCAAGATCCTCCGTTATGCCGAAAGTATTGCAGCATTAATTTTTAAATTATCGCGCGTAAGCTTGGTTCCTGTCGCTCCGCAGGAACCAAGCTTACGCGCCAATAGTTTAGGTAATTTCTTTTTACAGTGAAAATAATGATATTTAAAAAAAGTAAATAACATAAGCACTGCTTTATGGTTAGTTCAGTTAGTATGCAAAGTTTCATGATCTTATTTAAAGTATTTTATGAATAACAGCGGTTTATTGTTCAGTTTGGAGGTAACTTTGGATTTTTTTTCTATCGAGAAAATTTTACGGAATCGTGTTTTCGTCTAACATAAACCTTAACATTAATCCTCAACTTTACCATATATTTATTTCAAAATTAATGCTGCAATACTTTCGGCATAACGGAGGATCTTGCTAAGCCATTTGAGGTTATATTTCCCCTTAATGAAAGAGTTTAGGGTAGGAAAGTGAACGCGATGCGCCAATGCGCATTCATTACAAAATGAAGGGTTCAATGATGAACACATACCTCCCAAGGAGCTAGCCACATGCGAGCGGGATACTTGCTGGTTGGATTTGAATTCTCTTACACCGCCAATAAATAAAGAAGTTTTTGAAGTGAAAACTTCTTTAGCGGCGTTGTACACTTTTTTGTAATGGGAAAAAAATGTTAAACTCTCGTCAGGACACGTAACCCTGATTGAAAATGCGTAAGACGGATGTAGAGAAAGAGACAGTCGCAGCGTAGGAGAGGAAGTATCCCCCTCTCTTTCTATGCCTGCGCCTGCTGTGTCGTTTAGCTGTGTACGATACCGCAATAAATAAATATTGTATTCTACCACATAAATGATACTACTTTTATACTAATAATTAAAGCAATTCGTGCAAAATTATTCCCTAACCATTCCAAAATATCAAAAATGCACGACGTTAATATTCAAGTTTTCACTTCTGCCGGCACTCCCGGAGTGCAAATCGTCGTTTTTTTCCATTCATTACTTTAGATAGATCAGTTGATAAAACAGTACTTAAAATTGCAACTAATAATGTTATTGCTATCGATGGGACTGAAATACCCCCATATGCCCCCATTACTATCCTCACCACTATGGACCGGTCCTGGGAGCCTTATCTGTTTATAATAGAGTCTTAAGATAATTGATAGAATCAGGCGTTACTTTGTGAAAATCCATTATAATAAAGATATTAATAGCGGATGGTTGCAAAGTAACTATTAATATCTTTATTAATAGAGTCTTAACGCGAGCGCTTAATCATGATGCCCTTTATCTGGCTCGAACAAGAGGCATAAACATCAATTCTCTGCAATTCGACACGTCGGTAGAGGATCAAGCGCTGTAACAACATTTCCACTGACAACTGACTTTGGGTTGCTACTGAGAATTTAAGAAATCTAATAACTGATTTTGGACGCGGAAATCGAATCCAAGCCCGTATTGTTTATTAGCAGTCGCGTTTACGTACATTAGACCAACAAGACAGTCATTAAAATTAAGAGTAATTTAAAATTAAAAAGAACACACATACACACAGCTCCATAACCCGCCTCTCATTTCTGGGGCTAAGTACCAATTAGTATTCTGCTGCTCCAAGGCAATGGACGGAATGCAAATGTTATTCTCAAAATATTTTAATTTCCTAGACATGAAAGAAAAAAGGAGAAAACGTCTATTTTTCTTTCTTTCTTACATGCAGTGTTCACTCACGGTTTTTACCCTTTCCGCTGAGAAAATCTTTTTTTATTTATTTATTAAAAAGAATATTAACAATGCTATAAACGTTACTAATATTCCCCTTAACCACTCGTGGTAAGCTTAAATTGCTTGTGTTACGAGTGGTTCACGCCAGTAGTCGAATGGTGGATTCGAACCCACGACCTTTTTGAATTCGCGGTCCGCGCCCTGCGATTAGGCTACTGTCGCTTTAAATGGGAAATCGGTAGACCCTTTTTACTGAAAACGAGGCATTCCATCTTAGTCCTCACGGGTGACAGCGCATCTGCATTTTGATTTGAAATCGAGGGAATAGATGTCTATGGGCCGCAGTAACCACTTACCATCAGGTGGACCGTGTGCTCGTCTTGTCAACCTATCATATAAAAAAAAAACTAAAATTATAAAGAACGATTTCATTGATGCCGTCGGAGATCAAACCCAGATTTTTCGTGTACTCACATGTTACTGACGGGGCGATATGGGGTAGGAGATTTTCTACAATCTCGTATACTCTACATTGACCGTGAGTGGTGGTAAAATAAACAAAAACAATAACTTCTATGTACTTGTATACTACTAGCCATGATTGCCCGCAACTTCTTTAGTAGATTTTTTTAGTGCGACTAAAAACCATGTCATTATTTACGTGCGCACTTTTTCAATGTAGTTTGAAGTTTATTTTCAGATAAGTATAAGTATTTTTTTATAGGATAGGAACACACAGTCATGATGGTAAGTGGTTGCTGAGGCCCATAGACATCTATCCTCGATTACGAATCAAAATGCACATGCGTTGTCACCCGTGAGGACTAAGATGGAATGCCTCGTTTCCAGTAAAAAGGGTCTCCGCTACACTACACTCACCATACGAAACACAACAGCACTAAGCTACTATTTGACGCTGGTATTCTGTGAAAGCGTGGTATTTCCCCGGTCGAGCCGACCCATTCGTGCTACAACTATACTACTAATATAAATGCAGAATGGCTCTACCACGTATCAAAAAGTATATAACTTTAATTCACATATGCCTACAAACATGTAACTGTCATAATTGAATATACGTGGCATATTCACTGTGCCAGCTACTTGCCTGCGTGAAATATGGCTGTGACACAATTTTCGTTCTAATTGCCGTACTAATAGTATGTATAAGACATTATCTTTGAATAAAACCAGTAAAACCAGTAATTGTTAATTATTGGCTTTTAAATTAATCCCACATTAAGAAAGGAATGCTTCGATGGTTTGGACATGTAGAAAGAATAAATGCGGAAAGAGTGACAAACACATTTGTGCTGCAGAAGTAAGTGGCAGAGTCATCAAGGGAAGCCCTAGACGGAAAATTATCAACGAAGTTGTCAAAATATTGAAGATGGGCCAAAATAAGGGCACCCGAATTAACCGATAAGCATGTATGTGTAGATACGATGTGATGGAAGCGAGATATGTATGTCAGGATCTTGCCAATTGGAAGTTCAGTCTCTGCCTACACCTCTAGATGACAGGCGTGAGAGTTTATATATGATAGAGCAATGCTGCAGTTATATTATGGTTGTAGCACGAATTGGTCGGTTCGACCGGGGAAGGATCATGCTCTCACAGAATACCAGCGTAAAATAGTAACTTAATATTGCTGTGTTTCGTATGGCGAGTGTAGAGATCCAGAGACCCTTTTTTACTGGAAACGAGGCATTCTATCTTAGTACTCAGAGGTGACAACGCATCTGCGTTTTGATTATTAACTGAGGATAAATGTAGGTGTCTATGGGCCACAGCATCCACTTACCATCAGGTGGACTGTGTGCTCGTCAGTCACTCTAATTCTATAAAAAAGGTATGTTTATTATGTATGCAATTTTAAGTACTGATTTACAACGTGTTTGGCAATGGTCGTAAGCTTTTTGAGAAAACCTGTATTGCGAAAAATAAAAAATAATTCGAGAGTGAGAGAATTCTGACAACACGCTCTGGAGCAATGTCCAGCCAGAGAGTCTGCTTTTCCATCTAGTCTGTAACTTTTACTTAAAAGCCGAAATATTAATAATCATACATATTTGGTATAACTATTATTAATGAATCTCTCTTTCTTAGGTAGGTCTCCCTTTCCTATTAATTCTCTCTGTGCTGGTACCATCTTAGTAGCACTACATTACATCTTAATAGCATATCCATTATTATCATCTAAATGCACTCATTAATAAAACGTATCTTAGTCCTTAAGGATGACCACAAGACTTACCACTTATCATCAAATTGACTTTTGACACTTTAATATTTAAAAAAAAATATGGCGAATGGTGATGTAAAAACTTATTCTTATTAGTAGTTGCAAATAGTTTTGCTTACCACGATAACTTCAAACGCATGTAAGCACAGTATTACCACTATAGCGTGCCGAAACATTGCTGTCATCTGAAAGGAAATAATTAATCAAATTATTATCATTGTAATTCAACTATTAAAAACCTAACCTATTATAACCTAAGATATTTTTATAGAACAGGGTTAAAGAACGAACACGTCATCCACCTGATGGTAAATGGATGCTGTAACCCATCGATATATAATACATCTGTCCTCAATTATGTATCAAAACGCAGATGTGTAAGATGGAATACCTCGTTTCCAGTAAAAAGGATCTTCAGTTCTTTAAACTTACTATACGAAACATAGCAGCTTCAAACATTATACTACCGAGCTACTATACATAATACCGAGCCAAAAAAAAAATCAATGTATTTTTCTATGGAATAAACGTGACAAACGAGCACACAGTCCAGTTGATACCATGGCTGAGGCACAGAATAAATAATAGTACTACGTAGCTGAGGTAAGTGGATACTGTGGCTCCTAGACATCTACCCTCGGTAAAATATCAAAATGCAGATGCATTCTCACCCCTGAGGACAATTAACGCTGGCATTCTGGAAAACCGTAGACCTTTCTCGAGCCGAACCTTTCGTGCTTCAACCACAATATAGTTGCAGTATAGATCTCCTGCGTACATTAAACGTTATTTAATGATAATAAAAAAATTACAAAAATCATTTAGATTTCGATATAATAACATAATTAACACATTTTTAGAGGTATTAAGGGCGATGGACTTCAATAATTTATTGCCACATTTTGACCAAACGTCGATTTTTACGTGGTAGAGACAACCTGTAGCTGTATCAAGGCTGACGCCTAAACTAGCTGGATCGACCGCAGCAGGAAGACGGTTTCACATCGAGACAAAATTAAAAGCATAAAGATGCTGTACTTCGTACATTGAGTGTAGAAAACCGTAGACCATTTTTACTGGTAACAAGGTATTCCATGGTGTCGGAGTTGAAGTATTTGAATTTTGATAATTAATCAATGATAGATGTACATGTTTATGGTTTGCCTAGTGGTATAAACATACTATGTGATGGATTTTATTCGCTTGGCACCCTGTTTTTATTAAAAAAAATATATAAAGATACCGAGTTGATAAAAGGCCAATTTGGAGTGGTCATTGCTATCTGTCGGTACTGCGTTCAATAACTTGATCCAGCAGTTAAGTAAAGGCAGATAATTGTTGAGGTGTTTCAGAAAGATGTTACAATATATATATACTAGCTCGCCAGGCAGACGTCTTTTCGACAACCCTTTGTCATGTCCTATTAAAAATCCTTAAATTCACAAGAAAAATTGTGGGTCACTCATGGCCAAAAAAAACTATCAAGTTAGACCAAACTGCCAAACAATTAGTTTAGGAGTCCATCGCGGACAAACAACCTGACACGTAATTTATATATATATATATACCCTATCCCAAGCTGTTTATAATATTTATATAATAATTATGTTCTTTTATTTTTAATTCTAAATAGCATGACTCACAGGAGTCTAATAAATATTAGATACCCTAGCAGACTGCGATAAATATTTTAAATTTTCATTACGTAAAATTTACATCTTATTGCTGGAATACGTAAACGTATGATGGTAAAGTAAGCTCTAGTACTTGTCCTGTAGAATCTATTTTTGTCTAAATTATAGTTTAATGCTAATTCTTTGTTCTTTTAGGAATTATTGGACAGCAATATTCATTTTAAAGGTGGGAAATTATGTGTTTGTAAAATTGAAAGGAGAAACATTTTTACGCACGATTTATCTAACACGCGACTTTATGTAGCGTTAACACGGATCGTGCTTATTGAACCAATGATGTACGATTAATTTTTATTTACTTATTAAAAATAATATTGCTTGTTATTCCTATATATTTTTAAATTTTTTAAGGTGGTTTTTACTTTTTTATGTTTAGATCTCTCTGAAAGGACAATAAAAATATAAGCTCAATATAATACTCAGATAATAATATACCTAGATAATAATAGGTTAATATAATACCTAGATAGTCAAATTAAAATCAAATCAAATCATTCATTTGCAATCTAAATGTACATAATTGGTCTTAAAATATGCTCACAACCTAGACGCCCTTTTCAGGCACTACAAATTTGAAAAGGGCACTGATTATACATAAAATACGTAATAGTATTAGTTTTGTAATCTAATTACTCCTCCACTGAGTAGAAGGGGGGTAGAAGGGAAGGGAGGCTTGATTGAAGTTTGGTTAATTCTGCTATGTTTTTATTTCCTGGGATAATTTATTATAAATTTTTATTGCCATATTTTAGGGGCTTGATTTTAACGTTTTTGTTCGCGACTGTGGTAGGTATAATTCGTTTACTCGTATACATTCAGTTCATCACGAATCACTTATTGACTTGTTATCAGAATGATGGAGGTGCCCATCTCCCATTTTAGATCATACTATAGGATAATACGGGGTAGTATTCATTGAAATAGATTCATGTAAAACTTTATACTTTGTATTTTCATCTATAGGGGTAAAACTTTTAAATCGAAATATAGTCTATTTAATAAAAAAAAAAAGACGTGTGGCACTCGGGAACTGCCGCGGTAAAGCTATTGCATAGCATTTTGTATCAACTTATGCAATTATAATTATTTATTTATTTTATTTATGCAGTATTTCTTTTTCTTTGATATTAATTCAAGTTACACTTTTTGAGCGTGGTGACCGATAAGAAAACATTTTTTTCTTTTATTAAATAAATAAAAAGTTAATATTGTTTAAAATATTTTTATTATTTTACAATACATGTGGGTTTTATTATCTTACAGTAGCTGTTGGTTATTCAGGAATATTTATCATTGAAACTATAGGTGACTCATAACTGAAATAAGAAAAATAAGTTTGTTAATAATAAATGCACTTTGTTCATTCATATTCAAAACACTTTATACACAAATTTTACAAGTACAGCTATTCACTGTTGTACATAAATACCTATACACCAAGCTGCAACAGCTGCTTATGTATTCGTCCGATTTCGGAGCAGCTCGTCTCGATTCGTGCGAGCTTCGTAGAGTCGTACAATACGTCTAGTTGCACGCACACAAACACCGTGTCGAAGACTGCCGAAAAGAAACGACGTTAGACAATGCACGGCCTTCAAGCCACACCTCCGTGCCCGTCGGAGTGGGGAGCGTGAGGTTTTTTTCGTTACGGAATTTCTGGATTCGGTCCCCGCGCTCAAGGCCCGCGATAGAAGCTATGCAATAGCTTAAAAAATTGAAATATATTCAAAATTGGCAAGGATTCGCGTTACTTATATATAAAAAATGTACAGTTAGACTGAGAAACTTCTCTTTTTAAAGTCAGAAAAGATGCTTCTCATCGGGGTTGACAACAATCTATGATTTTCTTAAATTGAGTTTGCTCGCATCTGCATTTTGATTCTCAATCGAGGATAGACTTAGATATACATGGGCCATAGCATCCACTAACCATTAGGTGGACAGTGTACTCGTTTGTCACCTTAATTATATTAAAAGTGTTTGCCACAGTTGCCACGATTCTCAAACAGATTGCATCAGTATCATTATTTATAAACTTGATGTAAAAAGATAATAAAGTTATAGTTTATCAATTTTTTTTATAAAAACCGCCTTACAAGACTTTTGTTATAATTATAAAAGATATAAGTTATAAGCCTAAGCCGCGTAGACCGTATGCCTAAATCTATATAGATTATATAATTTTAAAATCGATTTTAAAATACGATAATTCGATTGGAACCGGAGTTGATTTATAAAAAAAATCTATTCATCTTCATTCCATCGCAAGAGATCTTACGCACTTGCTGTGTCTACAATTTCTAATTAAGGCTTTAAGGCGATGTTTTCTTATCATATATAGTTCTGTAAGCAGTCACAACGACCAGTTGCTTGTTATTTCTATTCTAGGTCGCACGACAGGAGACTGGAGTGCATTGAATAAATAATGCCAGCCCTACTATCTCTTAGATATATACAAGACCTATAAATTGGCCCAGGTTTGCAGTTACCTAGTAACGGTACGACAGAAGCGTGAATTTATTTCATCTCGACTTGTTTCAAAGTATTTCTGCTTTGTACGGACTCAGAACCGTTATACTCGTATTTCTAACACCACTAGGACACTCTGTTTTGCTTTTATACGGATAAATTTTTATCTTATAGATACGTTCATTTTTCTATTAAAGCCTATAAAATTTTACTTTAAAACTTTGGCCTCCCCCATAGACTGCATCACTGGGAGAATTTGCGAGTTACCACGCCTGGCAACTTTTTATTATTTTGCGTTGTTATCAGGAAGATGCAGCTGCCTATCTCCTGTTTTAGTTTCCCTCTGTTCGTCTCTTACGACACCCTCGGGATGATATGAGGTAGTGGATACTCCTACACCGCCACCACACGGCTTAGGCTTATATCTTATATGTTAATAATTCAAACTGAAGAGTCTTGTAAGGCGATTTTTATAATTTTGATAAACTAACTTTTAATTTAGGATAAAGATAAACTTTATCACAAGTTCAAAAACTTTATTAAACTAATTTTGTATAAAAAGGGTTATTATAATATTAAGGAATTTATGAATGATAATAACACCTGGAAATGATCACTACCAAGCTATTTCTAATTGGTCTTGTGTTGTTAATTGTAACATACATGATTGTAAGCTCTAGTTTAAAAAAAATAGTCCCGCTGGGTTTCTTGCTGGTTCTTCCCAACACAGAAGCTTTTTTTGCGAACCAGTAGTACCTAATGAAAAAAGTGACTTTCAATAAGTATTATTTATAAACCATATTGAATAAAAAAGTTTTCGTTTCTCTTTCCGTCTCATCTTTTTATATAAAATTAAAAATAATGATGGATAAGAATAATGATGATGCTTATTCAATCCGTCAGAGAAGAGTAGCAAATATGGCAAATACCTTTATTATAATAAAGCTGACAAATGAGTATATATACTCCACCTGATGATATGTGAATGCTGTGGCCCATAGACATCTAAATCCATCCTCGAT